ACAAATTGCCATTTTTTTGTCCGTAATCCAGAAATAAAATGAGCCTGGAAGGAGTTAAAAAACTAACCGAATTAATTTTCTTTATCTGTCCAGATATTCCTTTAAAAAATGATATTCTGTGTGACATATCTCTCTTTTCATTAATAAAGTATATTTTTATAATCGAAGCAGAAATGCGTATTTAGATGTTTTATAAAATAAATTTATATTGACTAATAATGCGAAAGTTTTAAAATCGGGAATTCTTAACGTATTTATCTAATATCTACTTGAAACAAAAACGAAATAAAAAAAAAGAAACAAAACCAGTAAAAAAAGCTGTAGAAACTGTTATGTCTAACATACATTATTTACTCTAAATGTTTTTAGAATTTATTTTTTATTTTTATCACATTTCGAAGTTCAAAACATCTTCCCCTTGACCCAGAAAAAATAATAAAAGCATCGCTTTAGTGATTTTTCTATGAAATCCTCTTTTTTTCCTGTCTTTGTAGGCACTAGTAATTTTGGTTTGATTCGAGGCCGACATCAAACACATTTTGTCTCTGCTTCATCTACGCTCGAAACTGTTATTATCGATTCTTTGAACTGCCATTCATCTTTTCACCTGTCTTCTGTTGTTTGCAAGGTGCGTATCTCTGACACTGCGCTTTGAAGAGGAGGCAGAGTAACTTGTATTTTAGCATTTATTCATGCATAACAAAATCAACTTGTGTTTAAAAGATTGGACGTTTTAAATCCTTAAAAAATGGTAGAAATTTATCGTTTGGTCTTTTGGAACTCAGTTGTAAATATCTAATGAATTGTGTTTTTAGAATTGTACCTTAAAATTAATAACTTTTAGAAAATGTAAGGATAATTCGAATAAAAATTAACAAATTATTCTTTTATTTATTCACACACACATACAATTCCTACTATTATAGTTCACACTTTCCCTATATATATTTATATATCTTGTTCAAATTGTCGATCGTTAATAAAATACTTTTTATTCAACCACTCAAGTTCAAATACACTTTTTTAAACTTGTAGTGGATAGCACTCGATGTTAATACAGTTTTTTTAAATATATTAATTCATTTTAGTTAAATTTAATTAATTAATTTTAATTTTATATGGGAGAAAAAAATTTCCACTTATTATTGTGATTGTGTCATATGTGTATACATATTTATATTAATTGTAATTATTTAATAAAAAGTAACTAAAATAAAATTTTTCTTTGTTGACATAAGTAGGAATTGACTTAATTTTTTTTCATATAATTTTTTTTTTTTTTTCAAATTTAAAGTATTCGAATACGTTTGGAACCATAATTTTGCAAAAGCCTATAAATGTATAATTTTTATGATATTTAGTATCATTTAGATTAAAATTCACATAAAAAGTTGTTTTACAAATATTCAAAATCAAACTCAGAGGCACAACAGCCAATGAGAGTCAAGTCCTACTGTGCCTATCCCAATACACGTGACCATTGGGCGCTGAGGTACATGAGCAGATGTCCCGATCAGGTAGTCAGTCTGAAGCGAGACCCCCAGTGTTTAAGTCCCCAAGCAAACTTGGTACTCTTTTATAGACCCAATGCAGTAGGGATGAAAGTTTACGAATATTACTACTACAAAAAAGCTACTTAAATGCAATTTTTTTGCAAAAAAAATTCTTTATTTTTGCCAAAAAATTGCACATCTAAGAACTTTTTTCATACTTTGAAAACATTCTCCTTTTATGAAAAATGCCTTTATAATAATAATATTCTGCTCACATATATATAAGGCCTGAACTAGATTTTTGGAAAATTCAAATTTTTTTCATAGTCATGATCAATTAAAGTAATAACCACTGTTTTTTTAATCTATTCTGATGTATTAAACTATAAATATATCCCCTTCCAAAAATATATATTTTAAAAATCATAGTACAAATAGGTAAACTATTATTATTAAGGAGCATTTTCCATAAAAGAAGAATATTTCGAAAAATGTGTCATTTTTTTCTTCTTTCTTTGCCAAAAAATTGCACTTGATTAATTTTTTTTTTTTTGTAATAATATTCTTAAAACGATTTTATACGTATATTCTAATAAAGGAAATGCACACTACAAAAAGTTTCCAGTTACAGAGTGCAAGACAGAAAAAGTGCAGCAAGAGACGAAAAATTTCTGTAAACGCACAATTTAAGAGATATAAACAATTAAGAAAAACACAGACATGAAGGAAAAAACACAACACCAAAAAACATCACACTAAAAAACATTAAAAAGCATTGAGAATAAAAATTGATGCATAATACGAGTTCATACAAGCGGTAAAACTGAAAATTTAAAAACATCAAAAAACATGAAGCTCTTCAGAAAACATATTAAAAACTTTATAAAACTTAAAAAGTGAAAAATGATCTATATAATTATATTTACGTGCGTAATTATTCTTAGTTTTATTTAAATGAATAAATGGTTATTACTTTCATATTTTTTTTTTCTCAGGATAAGAGTTAAAACACTATTTTGATAAAATCCCAAATGATATTTTCTACAAGTAGTGTTTATTTATTTTCACAGGATACTCAGTATGCGAAAATATTTTGATATTTAAAGATACAAAATATTTTTCTTTTTTTAAGTTGTTTTCGAGAAATTAGAATTGCTTATCTCTACCAGGAATAAAGCACTTTTATTTCACAAAAATAAATTACAAATAAGTTTTGGTGTTCTTTTCAATGAAACATTTTGATAGAATTTTAGCAATATATTTATTAATTAATCGTTATTATTTCATAATCGAATTTATTTAATCTTATTTTTCTGTTCATCTAAAATATAAAAGTTTTAATTTAAAATAACAATTTATATTAATAATATAATATTGTTTTATTTCAAGCTTAATATATGTGTATGTTAATTTTTAATACCAGTTTCCATTTTGAATTTAAATTTTACATTGTATTAGTCGAAATTTTTTTAAAACTATTTAAATTGCGTGTTTTCTAAATACTTTTATTAATTTTTCACAAAATTAAAATTATTTTTAAAAAATTTTCAGGAAATTTTAATGACCAGTTTTAAATCTTTTATATTTCTGAGCTCGATGCAACTTTTTTGTATAAGAAAAGGAAAATTCAATATGTATGTCAATTAATCTAATAAATTTGATAATATAAAATTTTAATCTTTATAATAATAAAAGAATTCACTCTCGAAATATATATATATCACCCAATGCTACAATTTTATTTCTTGCCATCCATTGCCAATAGTTTGAATTTTTAAAAAATATATTTAACTTTGATAGACCTAGTGGTCGAGTGGTAGCGTATCACCCTTCCACACCTCAGGTCCGAGTTCTATTCCCGGGTTGGGCTAAGTTGACTCAGCCTTTCATCTCTACTGCAGTGGGTCGATAAATGAGTACCAAAAAAAAGCTTTCTTGGGGACTAAACACTGGGAGTTTTTCGCTTTAGACTGACCACCTGATCGGGACATTTGCTCATTCACCTCTGCGCCCAATGGTCGTCTATAATGGGATGGGCAAAGTAGGACGTGACCCTCATGCGCTGTTAAGCCTTTGAGTTTTAACTTTGATATTCTTTTACGAAATTTGCAAATCTCTTAGGAATCTTAAATCTTATTTAATTAATTAGTTCTAAAACAGTTTAAAAGTAAAATTTTACCAAACTATAATATTATTTAACTCTCGAATTTCAGTGTTTGTAAAAACAAAATTATTTATGACGTAATAATTTCTAATATGAATTTATATCGTTTTTTTTTTGGAGCTACATAGAGAATTTTTTTTACTCTAAATTTTTGCTTAAAAATAATGGAGATCAAATATGGCGAAAAATTTTCATTTTTTTGGTAAATGGAGCTATGAAACATTCGTTTATGCATTTTTGATTTCCTTCGAAATAAAATGAAAAAGGATTAATAATAAGCATATTGAAAGACCGGGTCCAAATGTTTATTAAGGCATTTCTGAACCGGTAAAGTTTTCGATATTGAAAAACTCATTTCCTCTCGTGAAAAACTTAACTCGGAACATTTTCTCTCTTTTTATTCATTCATAAATATTAAACAGAAATTAACTACAGAAAGTTTCTTTCTAAAGTTATATGAGAAGTGAAAAAGCTGTACAAAATTTATGTAATCGAAAAAGAAACTGTTTTTAATTTCGAAAACCTTTATTAGTTTGCGAAAAAAAAGGCGAAAATAAATATGCAACTGACGATTGCAAGACGTAATTATTCTTATTTTGTTTAAGGAGTTAATTTAGTTGTGTTAAAGGGCAGTTCGCTTGGAAAACTTGGGCTAAGTATCCATAGGATTTTATGTGCGTAGTAGTTTAATATTGAAAATATTTTCGTTCGGTAAATTTTTTTCGTATCATGTACAATTTTTGTGCGAATTCTAATAAAAAGTTTAAAAATAAGTACTAATTAAAAAAAAACTTTTTTTAGTCAATTCCTACTTAGGTCAACAAAGAAAAATTTATTTTGGTTACTTCTTTTATTAAATAGGCCGCGGTAGCCGAGTGGTATAGGTATAGGACTGTGGCTTGCCTTGTCATGAGTTCGAGCCCAATACCACTAAAGACCCGCCGTGTAGGGCAGCGATGCACGTTAAATCTTTCGAGAGCTGAAATGTCCTCCCGATGGTGTGGTGTGGTAGTTAGGAGAGGGGGTGCCAGCTAGGGTGTCGTCCACTTCCCTTGGCCATGGTTCAAAATTACGTGGACTGTCGCCGAAAACCCTCGTGTAGTTAAACAGTGCGACGTTAATAATCAATCAATCTTTTATTAAATAGTTACAATTAATATAAATATGTAAATACATATGACAGAATGACAATATTAAGTGACAAAATAGAAAGCGATTTTCCTTTCTATACATGGTGTTGGACTATTTTTTTGTTTTTTTATTACTATTTGTTCATTAATTAGATTTAATTATTCTAATAAAATAGTGTAGTAAAAAATAAATCACATTGTAAGAATTTAGGTCATCCCAGGTGGGATTCGAACCCACGACCTTTGGATTAAAAGTCCAAAGCGCGCTAACTATTGCACTACAGGGACGCAACGAACAGTTTTCTTTTCTATATATGCTGCTGGACTATTATTTTTTTGTTTGTTACTATTTATTTATTTTTTAATTTAATTAATGAATTAATATTTGAAAAAACTGTCTTAACATCAAGTGTGATCCACTACAAGTTTAAAAATATACCATATATATATATACCATTAAAAGCTTTAAAAAATATATTTCTCAATATTTTATCTCGCTCTTGCGTAAAAAAACAATAGACAGTAAATTAATCGTAAATATTGGTAATTACAAAAATAAACACAGCTCAAATATTTTCGAATTTTAAATATGTCAATGATATTTTTTACAAGATACTTTTCAAAAAGAAATTTTTCCTAAATATTTACTAAAATGTAGAGTACACACACACAAAATTAAAAAGTTCCATGTCATCAAGAATTATTTATATCCTGTGATTGAATGAGTTTTTTCTCACATCGCACAAAAAACAGGGCAACTAGCAAGGGTCCTTGTAATTTTAAACCATGCTCAATGGACGAGGACGACACCTCAGCTGACTACCTCTCTTCAAGCCTCCACACTACGCTAACGGAGCTTTGACAGAGATAAGTTCCGACAAGAGCCTCGACAGAGTTTTCATGCATAAGCTTCTCTACACGGTGGGATTTGGTGGCAACAGGACTCGAGCCCGCGACACATCGGCTCTTGAATTTGTGATGTATCCTATGACATGCTTAGATGGTAATTCAAACAAGTAATATAAAAGAAAATTTTTAAGTCAATTCCTACTTAGATCAACAAAGAAAAATTTTATTTTAGCTACTTTTTATTAAATAGTTACAATTAATATAAATATGTAAATACATATGACAGAATCACAACATTAAGTGGTAATTAATTTTTATTCATTATCATTAAAGTATCGTATTGTCATCCCAAACAATCGCTTATATAAAATTTCAGTTCAACTGATTGCTTTAAAACGTGAGAAAAAAAAATCTTTTAAAGTTTTGACCTAAGTCACTAAAAATGGAACCAACGTGTCTGTATCTGTAATTCTTTAAATAATTAGTTTCAGTCAACTAATTTTAATTAGTTATAATTAAATTGTCGTATTTTTCCCCAAAACAATAGTGTATAGAAAATTTCAACTCAAATGAGCACTTTAAAGTGTGACAAAAAAACCTTTTCAAGTTTTGGCACAAGTCGCCAAAAATGATGCCAACGTGTCTGTATTTGTATTTCTTTAAATAATTAGTTTTAATCAATTAATTTTTATTAATTAAATTAAATTACTGTATTGTCATCCAAAATAATTAACTATATAAAATTTCAGCTCAATTGAGCCCTTTAAAATATATTTTATTACCGATTGAAAATTCCACTAAATAAATAAATATATAGAGAGTTGAGCTATAATAGAGTAGGAATTGAAATAAAAAAAATAAACTTAAAATCTCCTTTCTTTCTATCAAATCTTTTGTGGGAGGGTGTGGGGGGTGTCATGGAATTGACATTTATACAAAAAAAGATAATATAAGTTTCATTTTATACGCTTATATTAGAATTAAATTAGTTAAAGAAAGTTTTTCAAAGATTTGACAAGCAATGATTTTTTTGTTTAATCCAATGGATTTCAATTATCTTTCCCTTGCGATTCGACCTTAGTATCTTCCCTTGAAATGTGTTAAGAGTTTACTAATAGTGTAGCTGCGTATAAAGACTGATATGTAAATATTTTTCATTAAGCATCATAGTAACATTTCCCAACTAAAAACTGACATGAATGCAATTGGAAATGCCTTTTCATGATCATTAAAGATGATAGAAACTTTAACACATACTAATGTTACGGGACATTATATGGAATTAAAATACTTTAAATGATAAAATATTTTATGTTTATATATGTGACCCGTCATGCATTAGGGCAGATTCATGCCAAATCTATCGAAGCTCAAAATCCTCGTATTGTTGTGTAGAGGAAATTTAAAAAATAGGGTGTTAGCTCAGGTAAAGAGTGTTTTTTTTTCAGGTATAGAAGTTTAAGTTGGCATTATTTTCCAAGATGGCGACCAACAGCTGTCAAGTGATTTATTCTCAGTTTGGTTTGGCAATTCATCATGAATAGACTCACGCCTGAACAACGCTTTCAAATTGTGCAATTTTATTTCGAAAATAATGGTTGATTTTCATAAGCGAATTTTGTTTAGCGATGAAGCGCACTTCTGGTTGAATGGCTACGTCAACAAACAAAACTGCCGCATTTGAGTGAAGCTAATCCACAAGTGTATGTCGAAACACCGTTACATCCAGAAAACTGACTGTTTGGTGCGCTTTATGGGCTGGTGGAATCCTTCTTCAAAAACGATGAAGGCCACAACGTTACAGTCAATGGTGATCGGTATAGAGCCATGATTACTAACTTTTTTCATTCCTGAATTGAACAATCATGATGTCCAGGAGCTGTGGTTCCAACAAGACGGCGCAACATGTCACACAGCTCGGGCCACAATCGATTTATTGAAAGACACGTTTGGTGACCGCCTAATTTCACGTTTTGGACCTGTGAATTGGCCTCCAAGATCTTGTGATTTAACACCGCTAGACTATTTTCTGTGGGGCTATGTAAAGTCATTGGTCTATGCGGATAAGCCACAAACGCTTGACCATTTGGAAGACAACATTCGCCGTGTTATTGCCGATATACGGCCACAAATGTTGGAAAAAGTCATCGAAAATTGGACATCCAGATTGACTACATCCGAGCCATCCGTGGCAGTCCTATGCCAGAAATCATATTTAAAATGTAATGCCACAAGATTATCTTTCGAATAAAAAAAAAATTCATGTCAATCGAATAATACATCGTTGTTTTATTGTAATTTAAAGTTCTATACCTGTAAAAAAAACACCCTTTATATCACTCTCATCAATTGACCGTGGTACGAAATGTCGAGGCCCGTTGCCAACAACCCTTACTTTGCTGTTGAATGTGACGTTAATGATTCATTATCATATATATATATATATATATATATATATATATATATATATTTATATATGTGTGTGTGTATGTGTGTGTGTGCCTGCGTGCCTGCGTGCGGGCAGGGTCGTCTTAAGGCATGGGTCAACTGGGCCCGAGCCCAGGGCCTACGTTGCAATAGGGGCCTCGTAAATCATTATTAGAATAATAGTTTCAATGGTCAAATGCTACTTCTGGTTGTATTCTCCAAAAAACTGGGAATTTGGGATGATACATCAACTGGTTACATGTGATGACCATGTCCACGTACTGGACTAGGCTTAACACTATCAGGCACGCTAGGCACAAGATTAAGGTGCAAAAAACTGGTGGGCGAAAAAAGAGGGGGGGATTGAAATCACAGCGAACACACACATACCATCGCCTAACGAATCATCGCCTATATATATATAACGAGCATTTCTGTCCTTAAGAGAGTAGAGACTGAAATGAAATTTACAATGGAAAAAGAAATGCTTAACAGTTTGATGTTGCCATGTACTCAAAATAATATTGCTATGGATATTGATAACAATGATGTCATTAAAAGATTTTGCAATGATCAAAGCTCGGAGACAAATTTTGTTGTACAAATACAATGACAGTGACTCAACAATAAGGATGTATAAAAGTAAAATATAGTAAAACGACAAGCGAAGAAAAAGATGAGAATAAACAAGTTGAAAACATTTAATACAATAACGTGTACTCATATACTCATATTGTAATTGCAAATGATTTCATTAATTTATTGTGGGGGCGTGATGCCGTAAGGTAAGAGATGAACAAGAGTGGCAAAAACATGTCTCTACCCTTTCCTTACGGTTGCCAGTCCAAGACATGGGGGGTCCATAGGTGGTGGATAATGGAATGACTCTCCAAAGAGCAAAAACAATTAAGAGTTTAAGTAAAAGGAAAATCCCCCCCCCACGAACCAAAACTGGCAAGGAAAAAACTGAAGGATGGGGAGGTGCTCTGGAAATTGTGAGAGGGTGGGGCGTAACAATTTTAAGTGCCTAGGGTGCAGGAGAGGTTAAAAACGGCCCCGACCACCATACACCATCATTACTCATTCAGTCAAAAGGCTGCCGTCGATCGAGCTGGTTTGTGCGATTGTAAGTCATGCACATTTATTTATTTTGGGTTATTGTTTGCATGAGTATTTGTGTGTGTGTTACAACGTCTACTTCTAAGGTATCCGACTAGGTTCGGAACCGTGATTTTTAAAAAGTGTATAAATAGATAATTTTCATGATATTTAGTGTCACTTGGATTCTAATACATATATAAAATTGTTTTAAGGACTTTTTGGCAAAAAAAAAGTTGTTTAAATACAATATTTTAGCAAAAAAATAACTTAGAATAACCTTTTTTCAAAATGTTCTCCTTTTATAAAAAATGCTTCTATAATAAAAATACTTTGCTTATATAAAGTAAAGACTTCTCTCCTGAGAATCTGAACTATGATTTTTGAAAAATTCACATTATTTTCAGAGTTACAACCAATTGAAATAATTATCGGCGTTTTTTTTTAATTTCTCCCCTCTCATGTCGTAAAACATGGATAAAACCACTTCTAAGTTATATATTTCAAAAATTCTAGTTGAGCCTCTGTACAGAGGTCTGAGTTATATACAGGCAAAATATTACTATAATAGAAGCATTTTTCGCAAAAGGAGAATATTTTGAAAATGGGTCATTCTATGTTCAGTTTTTGTCAAAATATTGTACTTAAATAATTTGTAACAATATTCTTAAAAAAAACAATTTTCTATACATTTTGTAATCTAAGTGACACTAAATATCATAAATATTTATTTATACGCTTTTGCAAAATCACGGTTCCGAGCGTAGTCGGATACCTTAAAAGTCATAGGTGGAGCCGAAATGTGTGTAGGGGGCTCAGGGTCTCAAGAAGTCTAAAGTCCCTGTGCGTGCGTGCGTGCGCGTGTGTGTGCATATTCACTATGACTACACAATATACAGAGATGTCCTTCATAA